TTTGGACATGTTTTATTTCTGTTGACATGAGTTTCTTGTATGACTTGTCTTTTCTAATACTTTTCCACTTACATGTGTCTCCGTTCACCCCCAGCCCCCCCCCCCCCTCACATTGTGTGCTCACACACTACCCATGCCATCTTCTGACGGTGTGGACACTGTTTTGATTCTAACCTGGGGCCGGTCTTCCTGACCCCCCCCCCCCTCACTCTCATCCCGTGTGTTGAACGTCTCTTGTCTGTTTTTGTATAAGGGATCAGATGCTCAAAAAACGCACCACTCCTTAAAACAGACCCCACAAACTACAGAGCTAGATCCTACGATGCTAATAAAGTAAGTCACGGTGCCAGGTATAAATATATTTGAGGTATTCAAGATTTCAATCTTTCAAGTCGGTAAAAAAAAAAGAAGAAAATCCAACCAAACCCACATACACACCAAAAAACCCCACTGATCTCTGTCCGATATGTCATGTGCTTGCGAAACGATTTTCAGCTGGTCTGTAAAGCTTATTCAGTACATAAGGCGGCGTTGTGAATAATTCTTCTCTGATTATGCGTAAGGAGAATTTCGAAAACCGATAACCAAAAGGTTACTGTGATTTTCATATATGCTTGGTTTATATCTTTTGTACCCCATTAAAAAAAAACACCTGAACTTTATTATTCTTTTCAGTAATAGCTCTCCGATCAAAAGTACGACTGCTCGTTTGAATATGCAATGTTCTTTGAATTAAATGTACTTCACATGAAATGGGCTTACACCACAACATTCGTAAAGAAAGGAGCTAAATCATTCAGAGAGTTTTTATCAAACTATAATGTATAATGCAAAACAAGAGAGTATGTGTCTTCCGGTAAGAGCCCAATTACAACGCGAATCCGAGATCACGACGTTGATATGTTATTTTCTTTTCAAGGCCCACACAAGTCCGAAAGCTGAACTCTTCGTACCTCAGGACTGAGCCACTCAATCCACCACGAATAAAGTGTCGTCGCTTGATTACTTTGCTGAATGAAATTATAGAACGCCGTACATTCACCTTCGTTTTCGTTTAATTACCAAGATTCACTTTGTTTACTTTATTGCTTAGTTCTGAGCAATCCAGTGGAAATGAAAAGTGATTTGTCAAATCAACACCATTTGCCACTGACCCGATGGTGTGAGTGCTTTTCAAACGTCACAATCTCTCTGGTGCATACTTTCTAAATTTTCCTAAATTGCTGTTTCTTCTGTCTCGCTCTATAATGCATCGCCATGGGTCCTGTTGAATAACAAAACTAAAACGAAACAAAATGAAAGAACTTACAAACCCACTGACCTGCCTACCGAACTACTTACCCACCTGTCAATGTACCGAGCCACCTACCCTACTCCCTACTTACCTACCTACTTCTCAACCTATCCTCCTACCTACCCTCCTCCTATATAAATAAATGCCCACCAAACCAGCTACCCACCTACCTACCTACCTTCCTACATTCCTACCAACCTACCTACCAACCAACCAACCAACCAACCTACCTACCTACCTACCTACCTACCTACCTACCTACCTACGTACCTACGTACCTACCCACCCACCTACCTACCTACCTACCTACCTACCTACCTACCTACCTACCTACCTACCTACCTACCTACCTACCTACCCACCCACCCACCTACCTACCTACCTACCTACCTACCTACCTACCTACCTACCTACCTACCTACCCACCTACCTACCTACCTACCTACTTTCCTACCTACCTACCTACCTACCTACCTACCTACCTACCTACCTACTTATCTACCTATACTTACAGACAGACAGATTGATCGATCGATAGATATATAAATAGATAGATAGAGAGAGCAAGAGAGAGAGAAAGAGATAGATAGATAGATAGATATATATATAGATAGATAGATAGATAGATAGATAGATAGATAGATAGATAGAGAGCGAGCGAGAGAGAGAGAGCGAGCGAGAGAGAGAGAGCGAGCGAGAGAGAGAGAGAGAGAGAGAGAGAGAGAGAGAGAGAGAGAGAGAGAGATAGAGAAGACGGGGCTGAAGAGTGAGAATCGTTTTAATAGCAGCTGATTATCAGAAGACAAAAGTTTATTACCCCAATCTATTGTTCTTCTCCGCAGAATACACCGCCTTGCACGTACTCAAGTGTCTGGAATCTTGAAGGATTGTTGAGACATTCCTTTGCATTTGTGAAGCTATCGATAACCTACAGAGCCTCTTGATACACGTATTGTTATGCCAGACCTGTGCGGAAAGAAAAGCTATTCATAGATTAGAGTGGGATTGTTCTTCATTTTTGCTGAGGGCTTTAGCGTCCCTTTAACTGGGGCTGTTTTAGAAGCGAGGCGTGGCTCTTTGGAGGACAGAGGTGAATCACTTGAGAACAGAGCAGAAACCAGAGAAGAAGCAAGTGGAAAAAGAGAAAAAGAAAGGATAAAAAACGGAATATCCATTGTGGTTTTTCGTATTAAATACAGTCTAAAAACCTGATTTTCACACTTTTGTTTTAGCACAGATGGTGTGTTTATCGCTTAGTACACAAATACTTTCGAAAAGATAAGGTACAGATGATCAGAAAAATATAACAACATGCTTAAGCTCATAGGGGTACATATTACATATTGAAAGATCCCCCCCTCCCAACCCGGCTCTAGTGGACTAGGGCTTGACAAACAAACAAACACACTTAGAGGTAAAATAGCAAAGTGGACATCTATGCTCTGTAATTAATTAGTTTTGAGATTTGTTTTTGTCTCTTTTCGTTTCATTGGATTTCTTTGTCCCTCTCGCCACTAAGCGATCCTAATTTCTTAGTAATAACGAATAATGTATCTAGCAAATTCTATTAAAAGAGAGCAAGTTGAAAATGTAATGACTGTATGGATATCTCTGATTTACTGTGGATGATGAATTAATCAGAATCTTTGGGAAAAACTACAACAGGGAATGTATTTTGTGCAAAACCCTAAATCAAATGGAATTCACGATACCACTATAAAAGGATTCTATACCTCCAAATTAGAATAAGTAATTTCTTTTAGCATTAGTTGTTGGGGTGCTGGATTAACAATAACAGACACAAAGAAAATAAATAATATCATTAAGAAAGAAGGAAAACCAGTAAATTGTAAGCCACATAATTTTGACACCATAATTCATCTTCGTAAAAATAAATCCATATTGAATTTTATTGAACACCCTCTTAATGAAACACATAAAAGACCTGCAATAAAATCTTCCAACCTGCTTAAAACAGATATATAAGAATTCCTTTGTCCCCCTTCTGTCGGATTAAGGAGAAGAATATCTTAGACCAACAGGATATAGAATGATCATTTTGTATTTGATTATGCTCTATGTGTGTGCCTGGTATGTATAAAAGTGGCAGGCAGAAAACAAGTGTACGTGTGCGTGTATGTGTGTTTGTGTGTGTGTGTTTGTGTGTTTGTGTGTGTGTGTGTGTGTGTGTGTGTGTGTGTGTGTGTGTGAGTGTACGTGTGTGTATGTGTGTATGTGTGTATGTGTGTATGTGTGTATGTGTGTGTGTGGGGAAGCGGATGTGTGTGTGTGTGTGTGTGTGTGTGTGTGTGTGTGTGTGTGCGTGCGTGTGTGTGTTTGTGTGCTTTTGTGTGAGTGTACGTTCTTTTAATTTTTTTCAAATTTATTTTTTAGGAAAGCGGAAGTCTCTTCGTTTGGAAAAGAGATAGAGAGAGAGAGAGAGAGAGAGAGAGAGAGAGAGAGAGAGAGAGAGAGAGAGAGAGAGAGAGAGTACATACAAATGGACATACTGTTTGGATAAAAATAATGCATTTCTATGTTGATGCTGAATATCTGTATGTTGATATTCTAGTATATCCACACAACATTTACCTCGAGGATCAATACCGTTTATTTTAATCTCAGTCTTATGAGAGTGGTAAACCAATCCAAAAAAGAGACTAATCAAAGCTATTCTCTAAAGCCAAAACAATAAAGACAATTTCTTTTTAGAAAGATGAAAGAAACAATAGAAGATGATTTTAAAGTAGGTTATACCATAACATAGCAACTAATTTCAGCTCTATTTACAGTTGAGTTTTGATCTTTTTGAAGCAGGGTAAGAAGTCTTTCGATAGAAATCGACAAAATTGTGACCCATCTAAAAGACGTCTCTACCGACAAAGTTTTGCTTTATCCTTATCTCAGTTTTCTAACCATTCTATCACCACTCTTATCCTTTGGCATGCAGTCAGCTTAGTTGGCAATCATTCTAGACAACAGAGGTCTTGGTTCGAATCTTGGATGGGTTGGGAGGGGGGGGATGGGGGAGCTTTTGATAATCTCTTTGGTTTGGTTTACTCCAGAGAGACCTTGCCTCTTGCTCTAAAAAACATTTCAAAGTTTAGAGGAACCCCCCCCCCAGACAAACAAAGTAACAAACAAATAAACAAAGAATACACGATAATACAAACAATACCCGAGATCCCATGACATGATAGGCCGAAGAAACGGACTAAAGGAGAAGTTTCAATGTAATGACTGACACTTTGAAAGGATGTCCCTGGTCGTGCCATTTACAATAATATTTAAAGAATGGTACGTAGTGGAAATGTGTGACTGACTGTTACGTTTATCTCCTGGAAGAGACGAAACAGCGACATACAGTAGAGACAAGAACTCAATAAGGAGCTCAAACATGTTGTCCAGACGAGGGGAGGGAAAAAAAGGAGGACTGCTTTTTTTGGGGGTGGGGGGGGGGTGGAGATCGGCCATTGAAATTTCTTATTTTTTGTTTGGTAGAACTGAAACTCACCTACATTGCTAAAACCTTAGTGGTGTTATTGAGGAAATATTGGTGGAAGAGCATCTATGCAACCTTTTCTCCAGACATAGGAGAAAGACATTAATCCTTACAATATGGATCCAAATTATCCAGAAATGTGTTCCTAAACGAACATCAGTTCAAACCAAGCCAAACTATCTGAGCTCTCTTTTTCTTTCCCAGCGATTCTGTGGATACTGTTGTCTCTTGTCACGGGAAATGTCAACATACGTCATGTCGCGCATGTGCATTTGTCCAAGAGCCCTCGTGTCGCCCCTGCAGACAGAACGACTTCCGCTGTCTGAAAAAGTTCGGCAAGTGCATGCAGAAACACACGTGCTCCTTGAGGAAGAAATCATGCAAATGGTCACGGAAGCAGGTAAACACTATTTTTCTTAAGATATTTTTATAAATGAAAAAAAAAAGTTATTTAATGCTTTCAAGAGGAGATGTATCTACTTGTAGTTTGTGTTCTCCCAGCTCAACGTAAGCAGAATACTACTTGGACCTTTTGGGAATCCATTTGGCCAGGGTGACACAATTATAAACTTATTTTGATTACCAGGGTGTAGTTTTATTCTTTTAGTTAATTAAGAAACCAACGAAACTTCGCTCTGTTGTAAATTGTAAAATTGCACATAGTTTCGAGAAATTCCCTCAAGTGAACTTTTTAAAAGTTTTTTTAAGTAAGGGGTGATTATTCAAAATGTGAACGTCGCTTTGTTGCACTCCTGGTGTGATGAGAGTTTTTTCTTTCTTCAACGTAACCCCCTTCTGCACACAATGTAGATAATTTTTTTTTGGTCCCAAGTCCTGATTTTGGTGCCCATATTTGTTGGTTACGTAAAAAGAATGTAATGGTGCAAAATGTTATGTTTTCTAGAGAAACAAAGCAATGGAAAGGGGAATTGTTAAGTCGGTAATGATGATGGTGATGATGATAATGCTGATGGCGATGATGATGATGATGATGATGATGATGATGGTGGTGGCGATGGTGACGGTAATGGTAATAGTGATGGTGAGCATGAGGATGATTATTTATGTTGGCGATGATGATGTTCTGATGTAGGAAATGTCGTGCGTATTAGTCTTAGTGTTAAGTTTGTTTTGTGCTAAATCTAGATGCACACAATGTAGATAATTTCAAAGGCAGAGTGTTTGGTCACCTGCCAGGAAACCTGGCTGAGGAAAGACAAGGGGAATCATTGGGCTTCAATCAAATTCCAACCTCGAGCGCCAAGGTGGCAGGTCAAGTTTCTTATCTATTGTGTGGCAGCAGCCAGTAAAGACCATCATAGTGACTGCTTTTTAAATTCGCAGTTTAGAAAAACACTCAAACCGTATCGTGTACCAAATATCAACACGCAATGCTGGGCATTCGAATGAAATAACAAAGTAGCGGTGGATAGCCTCGCAGTACTTTTGTATGATTCTTTGTTGTTTACTTGCTGTTTATGTTGCAGGGCATAGATCTACTAGACTCAGAAACAGCATGTTTGGTGTAGCAGTCAAACTGTTCTCATATTATACGAAAGACAGATGTTCGATTTGTACGTTGGGGAAAATATCTTATCGCGTATTTTTGTCTTACTGCAGAAAGTCTTAAATTGCGATGGTTTCGGTAGCAGCGGTTACTGTTTGTGCATTTTTAGAGTATGACTTAGTGGAAGTGCTCCTGTGATTTCTACCTAAGAAATCCAACCGAACATTTGTTCTCTCTTCATACATTTTTTGGCTGTTCTTCATTATGCCGGATAGGACCATTTTTGGGACGGCAAGACCAACAACAAAACTAGAACAAATGTCCTAAATTTCGGAATCCGGCCATAAAAAGTGGGACATGTTTTATTAATTGAAACGACGCCAGGTAAACTTTAAAAATACAAATATAAAAGCGTCCACTTCCTCCCACATCTCTTAAAAAGAGTGAAAAAAAAATCCAAAACAAAACAGAAGACCTCCCCCCCCCCCCCCATAAACACGCGTAGCCCTACACAAAACTGTTGAACCTCGTTATGAAACAAAAATGTTTCGCCCATTAATAAACAAGCTGAACATACCGACAGGCTCACAAGAAGTTACGTGAATGAAGTCTTGTGCCAAAAGACGACAGAGGGAATTTTATGAAAACATTCACAGCTGCTTTGCTCTGGAATGTCCGCTCTGAACATATGGCAAGGAGAAACATTTTAAAATGTGTCCTTGTTCTTCCTAGAGAAGTCTGCCGTGTAACGAGCAGTTGGAACACTTTACTTGTCTTAAACATTTGTATTAACATGTTCAATATTGTCTCCAATTACAAATCTACCTAGTTATGTCCACAAACACATTCATGGCTTGCTTCTATTGCGTATATTTTCAATGATTTAGTTTGTAATTCTTGATTTGAAGTTATTGTGACACAGGACGAGTGTGAAGCATTCTAGATAACGTCTTCCACGCCTTTCTTATTTTGGGTACAGCAAACACGTGTCTATATCTACAGATTTGTTTTCAAAGGCAAGAATGATTTCGTAAAAAATAAGAGTCTTAGCTATAGACATGGTTTTCAGACATGTTTTTGACCCATCAGAGCATAAACACGTTTCTTTGATATATGGTAGTTGTGTATATTAATGTCTGAATCTAGCTTCTCTTAGGGTGCAGAGCGTGGGAGGTTTTTGCTGATGTATACAATGTTTATACACGCTCCTTGATCATTGTTCACCCAACGGCAAACAGGGGAACAATTGGATTACGAAAAGAATCCAAAAAGTTAGCAGGAAAAGTGAGTGCCTGAAGAGAAATCGAGCGTGAGGGAGCTTGGTTATCACTAAAAAAACAATTCTGTTCTCATGCCGTCTTCTCATTTTTGCCCCATCATCTGTTCTGTCGGAAGCGGTGCACATATTTATACATTTATTTCCCATTATCGCTCTGTTATTGTTCAAGACTACCTGGGGCTAGAAAACAAAGATAAAACACGCATCAACTTTCTGGCAAGACGTATCCGTCAATTTTTTTTCTTCTTTAATGACAGTCAAACGGTTGATTTCAGGTAACGTATGGTAGCTTCCCTTTCACCGCCTGGTTCTCAACGAAAGGCCTATAAACCTTTGCGCAATCAGAGTCCCCCCCTTCATCTTATCTTCTTCCTTTAATCCCATTTGTCTTCATTACCGGCCCACGAGCAGCCCCGACCAACGTTGGAAACAAATACCGCGCGCTCAAACCGACTCGGCTGCGGATCAAACTTTCGGGGCTTATCGCCACCTTTCCTTTCTTTATTTCACGCCAAACGAGAAGTGTGGAAGATAGAATCTGCCCACGCATTCTTTTTACCCCCCATACCCTCTTTCCTGCTTCTGCTTCTCTGGTTCTCGACCTTCCAATAATTTCTGTGGTGGGTTGATTATAGTGACTGCGTTTAGCGGCGGAACTGAAAACGAGATGCGAAAACCGTGGTCTCTGTGGGAGGGGTTGAGTGATTGTAGACAGCTTCCCCCTCCTTAGCCAAGGAAAAATGGCCACGATTCGCATTAAAGTGATTAGAATGCAGTCTTTTTAAACTTCTCCCGCGGAAGAGTCGTTTCTACCAAAAGATGGCCACAGCAGTGGCTTGGAAACGGACAGACCTTTAGAGTATTAAAAGTATTAGTAGTTTGGATAAATAATTACGTAGCTCCTGGAAGACAGAAGAACTAAGAGAATATCTTTTCTTATAGCTATGAAGCATTTTGAAGAGGAACTGTCGTAAAAAGGAAGTTTGTGAGATAATCGTGTCGCCATATCGCCTTTGGAAACTTTTAACACACCACATTTCCTATGTACACACACACACACACACACACACATACACGCACACACACACACACACACACACACACCACATTTCCTATGTACACACACACACACACACACACACACACACACACAACCATCACACACAAACACACACACACACACACGCACGCACACACCTACACACATACATAAAAATGAAAGAGAGAGAGAGAGAACGAGAGAAGGAAAGCAGAGAAAGAGAGTGAGTGAGAGAGAGAGAGAGAGAGAGAGAGAGAGAGAGAGAGAGAGAGAGAGAGAGAGAGAGACAGAGAGACAGATAGACAGAGAGACAGAGAGACAGACAGAGAGAGAGAGAGAGAGACACAGAGAGAGAGAGAGAGAGAGAGAGAGAGATCTGTGGCTATGAGCAAATGTATGTGAATCTTGGAATGCTGCTGCGAGGTTTGAGTCACACAAGCTGGTTACAACCCATTGTTAAATTTTTGTCATGGGACAACTGATACTGAAAATCAATTATCTTATCTTATCCTGTCGTATTTTACCGCATCTTCTCTTCTCTTATATTTTCTAATAAGAAAGGACCCTTAAGGGAACGATACCAGAGGAAGCTGTCGTTGTAATCGCAAGCTGTCGAGTTGTTCAGCTGCTGCTTGTCTGATAAAGGATGCTGCCTGCCCTGGCTGGTTCAGGTCACATAAACGATGTTGTGACTTGTAGTTGTAGCTTTGAGAAGAAATAACTTTCAGTTTTCTGCTTGAAACACAAGGTGTTTAGGGTTATAAATATATCAAAAGAAAAATAAACTGCCATGCTAAAATCCCATGAAAGCCATCATCATCTATGTTTTAAGAGACATTTGCAGCAAAACCAAAAAATAAAGTATTAAAAGTGGAGAACTACTCTTTCGTCATGTAACAGGCGTATGCCTGAAAACAACCCCTCCCCCCCCTGACGCACACTTTAATTGATATCTGCAAGGAAATTTGGAATTGATAGTGGGTACAATGTATACATGAAGTAATTGAGAAATAATATAAAAGTCACTTAACGCACAATATTATACCTACTCGTATACTATATTACTATATTACAAAGCGTACCTTTGCAGGTTGCTATACTGCTGTAAGCTGACAAAACACCTTTATTTCATACTTTGCACCAATCTTTTATTTGTTAAATTGAAAGTCCTTTAATCCTACTTCTGTGAAATACAAAAGAAAGTTAAGCGGTGCCTTGTTTTTAAATGAATTAGAATTCAAATTTTGGAAGAATGTCTTTTTTAAATGACAGAGATACTCTTTATTACGAAGCTGGTGTAATAAAAAAAGACGTTTTGTCAAGTTACGGCAGTATAGTGCCTTAACCTTTATTCATTCAGCTGAATCATGTTCCAACCACCCATTTTCGCCCCCCACGGTTACATAATATATACAGCCTGATAAATGTTTAACATTCATGTAGTATCTGTCCAACAATGTTTTAGAAAAGGGATTCTAAAAAATACCCTAAAGCTGAAGTCGAAGGGAAATAAAAACTTGCATTTAGGTCAAACCTATGATAAATAATGCAACTTTTTAATGCATGATTTTCAAA